TCATAATCATCGTTAATGTTTCTCAATTCTAAAAGATAAAACCTCACTCATCCGTTGGTTGCGAACAACCTTTAAATTCCTTCGCCGACTTTAGTAAATACATAGTTGTCATCGATGTACTATGTAGCAAACAATCTATTACGACTCCAGAGCATATTAAGGGTCTATTTGACGCAACTGCAACTTATTGAATAATATTGTTGGTAAGCTGATTAAAAATAGTCTGTTGATAAGCTAGGTGCGATTACTAATAAAAATTTTTATTTTTTTGGAAAAGTCAGACCGTTTTCAGAAAGCTGTCACCGCACCTAAGTGAAATGTGAAAACACTGTTTTCAACATTTTCAAAATGCATAAGCTGTCAAAACGCAGTTTACCCAAACAATCTATGTGTATTTTTAAAATGTCACCGCATCAAATAAGCTGCCCTAAACGGACCCTAAGTATCAACTGATACAAGAAAAGAAAATTTTAGCTGTAAAGTGTCATATTTTAAAAGTGAACCCCTTCTGTTATTTGGGTAGTGATGAAAGACGATGCAAATATTATGGTGATTGATGCTAGCATTATGGTTTCTTGGTTAGGGCTAAAAGAATAGAATAAATTCAGTGAGTCGCATTAGTGGGGTTGTCGAGCCCCAAGTGCCCTCACTGACGTAGTTACGTCTTGCACATAATGGCAGATAACAAAAGAACTTTTACGGGAATTTACGTACACAATGCCCAATCCTTATGATTTTACCTATCTCACACCCAAACTCTCATTTTTACAAACCAAGCACCCAATTTACTTTTTTCACCACTTCTCAAAAATGAAATCCACATTTTCATCTATAGATAGGGTGCTGATTTTATGAAAATGAGAGTTTGGGTGTGGGATAGGTAAATGCATAATAATTAGGTGTTGCACATGTAAATTTCTGTTTTTATAAACCCGCCGTTCCCTCAAGGCAGGCCATAAATAATATCAAGGCAAGCTGGTAAATTATATTCTTTTGTATAAGAATGAATATTAATGCATAAATAATATTATGTGGATATTATCTAAAGCACTTGGAAGTAGAAAAAAAAAAATGTAGAGCAAAACGCCCAAGATATTTTGCACATTTTATAATTGCCTTCAATCTTTTTCTTATTCGTCCATATATAATATGCCGCTAACAAAAAAAAAATAAAAAATAAAATAAAATAAACAGTGTAAGATATCCGATGCAATAATTTAAAAATAATTTTTAATATTTTTATCAGATAATATTCAAGATATTCAGTGAATGGACTAGTTAGACACCATAGGTCAACAAAGTTGACCTTTAGTCAAACCCAGCTTTAAATGCTTGAATTCAACCATACTTAACGCTGATTTGCTAAACCTTAAACCATTGAGTTTGACCCAATAAAGGTCCCTTACACCTCAGAAAGTCAAACCAATTTTATAGCTCACCCAAGCAGCCTTAGTCAACATAGTCAAATCTTAGCTTATTTGCATGTTTAATCTAAATAAAATAATTAAACAAGATTAATTAAAATAAATAATATCAGATTAATGTTTGTATTACATATAGTAAAGTTTAACATGCACGGAGAAAGATGATAAAGTTATTTTTTGTGAGTTACGAGGAATCATATTGTGCGCTATTTCGCTTGATGGATGTTATATGCATAATAATACTTGACTCAGTCTACAAGATACAAGTTAATAATAACACAAACCCATATCAAGATCTAAAAGCAGTCTTTGAAATGTATTCAATCATGATCTTCAACTGATGGTAGTCAGATCGGAGGCCAATCTTGGAAACCACAGAACCTTGTAGTTGGTTGAAAATATCATGTATACAAGATAGTGTGTACTTGTTCTTCACGATCTCCTTATTCAGTTCTCTGTAGTCAATGAAGAGCCGGTTTTTCTATTTTCTTTCTCACGAATAGAACCGGTCCTACATAAAGCAAAACACTGGCTAGATGAATCTTTGTCAAGTAATTATTTTAGATGAATCTTAAACTCATGGAGTTCCACATTGGCCATCTTATGGAAGTATATCATGTATCCCTGGAAGTATATATATGACGAACTAGATCTCATGATCAAGTACTAAGTCAGGCAAATCTTCAGAAAATACAACAACAAATTCTTGATACACTGAAAAACTATCTAAGCTACAAACACCCCAAAATGATCTTTTATCGAGGGGTAGGCTATCTATCGGATTATGGTGACCAGTCATCTACCTAACAACCTAGTCTCATCTTGGTGACAGAAGATCCTTATCATAGGTAAATAGTTTACAACCAAACAAAAGCAGCCAACCAATAGAACCAAGCCGACTGAATCAGTTCCGGATGATTGAAGTTCAATAGATGCCAATCAACAGCCCCAAATCACCATAATCAAAAGAACGAATCTCACTAAACCAAGGCCCTTCGATTCCATCCAACCAAACGCTAGGGTAGCATATTCATAACTTCATTTAAGTAAGTACCTAAAATACCCTGTAACACCCTCATTAAATTATGGGTAAGCAAGTAATTATGCACATTGTACTCCCTCTCCTATAATCAGAGGGCTCATTTCCTTAGTAAGGGCTAATTAAAAATCAATTTTACCGTTCAGTACTGCTCTCTCTCTCTCTATGTACTGCTTTCCTTGGGTTTGACTACCAAACAAATCTAGTTTGAAGAATATAATATAGAAATTTAATTAAAATTTAATATTATTAAATTTATTTAAATTAAATAATTCCTTATTTCAATTTATACCAAGTAATTAGGAACAATGCCTCAAGGCTAATTCATCAGAATAACACCCCAATGCTAAAAGAGGGTTTCTCAGTCCTTGAAGGAGCCAATTTCATCCAAAATACGAAAATCTTAACACGGTAGCGCCAAGGTGCAAGTACGCCTAGCATAAGCACCATAGCGCCATCAGAACCAACGTTGTCGCAACCAAAGACTTCACTTGATGACATTGAGCCACGAAACATTGCGCTACATGCCCGTCAGCACCCAATTCCACCAAACCATGCCTCCGCATTCCCGTGCCTCCCACCAACTTAAGATGGTTTCTCTGAAGGTTCAACCGAAGGGAAGGCATAAAGACTCAGAATTAACGCATAAGGGCTCTCAGTCATTCTCACAACATGGGGTAAAGACATAGGAGAACTTGGAAGAAGATTCTGGAATTTGAGACAACTTTAAGAGAGCATTTGTGTGTGAGTGCTTGTAATTTGTGTAGCAAGAACTAGGAGAAATCAGAGAGGAGAACCAAGGAGAGAACGCTTGAAGCGAAAACGTTCAATCTTGATTGTACTTTTCTATTAATTGTAAAGTTTGAGTTTTATATCAATGAAATCCTTTATGTTTTCTGTAAGTGTGTAGAAATTAAGAATATTTGCTTCTTTGATTTTGCAATGTAAAGATTCACGTTCATTCCATGAAATTTTTTTCAGTTATTTGGATGAATGTTGTATTGTTAACTTTCCAACCTTCATTTACCTTGTTGTTGACTTGTTGGGCACCAGAATAATTAAAGTTACTTGTGATCTAAGATTATTGACCGTAGGCTAGAAGAACAAACAAGTTAATATTTAGTCACTGTGTAATAAAAAAAAATTATTATTAAAAGATTGCAATCATGTATGAGAATGTGGATTCCTTGGAAACATTATAAGGTTAAGGGTATTTTAGGCTCCAACACTTTTTATATCTAGGAATAGAGTAAAGAACAATTACCCGTGATTGTCAGTGTCAAGTAGAGAAAATATTGGAAAAAACATAGAAGATTCACATGATCCTTTTCATAGAGGCATTTTTCTTAGTTATAGCAAAACCCAAAGTATTGAATGTGTCACCATATAAGAGTCGCTTCCCCTTCTCCGTCCTCTTATGCCCGACAACTTCGTCTACTTCCTTCTCCCCCTCTCAAGTTCGCCCAAAGCCATCACATCTGTCTTGAATTTGCCCAAAATGATCACAAATAAATTCTCGAGATACAATCGAGATTAGAGCTAATTGGAAGACAACAACAAGAGCACTACATACAAAGATAACCAAAACTCCCATCTCTTTGGCCTTACTCCGCTCCTACCTGAAAACATTAACAAAGGAAACACCATTCCAACGGCTGCGGCACTGCCTACGACGTTGACGCCTTTTCAGTTTTTTTATGTCTGATCGAAGATAATTACTTCTTGTGGGTGGAAGAGGCGAAAATTTTGTACACCTTTTGGGATGGCGTTCATTAGATATGATCGATGGATGTGCCGCAACGAAAACTGACGTATACAAATAATGTTCTATGCCTAAATACTAAAATTTAGGAGTGATATACACAAATTCCAATGTTTTAAGTGGTATTATGTAAAAACTAGGGGTATGAACGAGTGAACATGAGCAAGCACAAGCTCAGCTCAAGTTCGGTTCATTAAAACATACTACTATTTGTATTCAGCTCATTTATATTTCAAACACAAAAATATATTCATGCTCAACTCGTTTGCTAACAAGCCAAACAAAAACTGTTCACGAACAAAGAGACATTTTAATAACACTAATCACACAACCGTAGGTGTTAAGGGTAGAGGAAAAATTTAAATCTTATTATTTATATTAAAACATCATTTAAATATAAGTTATATATTTTTATTCTATTTTTTAATTAATAATTTTACTTGGTTATAAATTTTTGTAGCATTGTAATCAATTAAATTTTTAAAAAATATTGTTAATTATTTTGAGTCAAAAGGAGCCAGATGTGAATGAACAAATATTTATTTGTGTTTAACTCGTTTATATATCGAGCTTAAAAAAAATTATTCGTGTTAAGCCAAGCCTGTGCTTTTTAACAAGACGATGGAGGACCATTTACTCATAAGCGTGCGAACGGTTTCGACAATCCTATGCCTCTTAAACATTAAATATTTATGAATTTCAGTGTAAAATTCCAAAATAACAATTTTCCCACACAACTTTCCAGACACATTTATAAAAAATTAGAATCATCCTAAGCAGCCTAATATCTTTGATCACACATATCCGCGGCATATAACAACTTATCAGTATACCCATAGAACAAATTTAGGGCTGGCAGCGCAGAAATGCCGTCCTTTTTCTCATCCCAAGCTCACATGGCCTTCTCCTCCACCGTCTTCCTCTCCCCCAATTTCCCCCTTCGTTCACCTTCTTCTCAAATAACCAAACCCCGACAGAACTCCTTCCCCATCCGCTGCTCTGAACCCATCGCAGATCGGCCTCCCATGTCTTCGCCCTTCGACCTCCGATCCTACTGGACCTCCATGATCTCTCACATCGAAGCCGATCTGGACGCCGCCATCCCCATCGCATATCCAAACCGAATTTACGAATCCATGCGGTACTCCGTCCTCTCCAACGGCGCCAAGCGCGCTCCCCCGATCATGTGCATAGCTGCCTGCGAGCTCGTCGGAGGCGATCGATCCATCGCCCTCCCCACTGCCTCCGCTCTCGAGATGGTACACACCGCTTCTCTCATCCACGATGATCTCCCCTGCATGGACGCTGCTCAGCTTCGCCGCGGCCGCCCTTCTAACCACGCAGTGTTCGGGGTCGACCTCGCTGTCCTTACGGGCGATGCCCTTTTCCCCCTTGCCTTCAGCCATGTCGTCGGCCACACCCCGGCTTCCCTCGTCTCCCCGCAGGCGATTCTTCAAGTCATCGGGGAGATTGCCCGTACGGTCGGATCCACCGGGATGGCTGCAGGCCAGATGTTCGATCTACTGCCGGAGTACGGCGGGGAGCAGGAGGATGTGATAGTTGTACTGGAGAAGAAGTTTGGCGAGATGGCGGAGTGCTCGGCAGTGTGCGGCGGGTTACTGGGCGGTGCAGATGAGGAGGAGCTAGAGAGATTGAGAAGGTACGGAAGGGCCGTGGGGGTTTTGTATGAAATTGTGGATGACGTTTTAACGGAGGAGGAGAAGTCTGTGGGTGGCAACGGGAGATCGGGGAAGATGAGGAGCAATGCGAGCGTGGTTAGGGCTTTGGGGATGGGGAGGGCCATGGAGATCGTCGTGGAACTCAGGGAGAAGGCGAAGGAAGAACTGAAGTGTTTCGGGGATAAGTATGGGGAAAGAGTCTACAGCTTTGTTGATTATGCGGTGGACAGAGGTTTTAAATTGGAGAGCCATGTAACGGCTGTCGCCGGCGACAGTGCTTATTCTCCATAATCAGCTTTGATGTTATTAGTTTCTTTTTCTTTTTCCCGTGTCCGGCGTCCTCCAGTCTTGGGAATAAATTAGGCCGAATAATGTTATAAATACTAGGGCGGTCAAGTAAGCTTCATAATTTTCCGTGCGAATTTGTTCCTCATGTATTAACTCGAAATTAATATATATATATA